TCTAAAAATGTGAAAAGAGGGTTACTTCTCGTCTTACTACTGCCTGTCGAGATAGTTGTCGTGGAGAGGTATAAAATGTTTCATTTACTTCTAATATCGATATAAAGCTATAAATGATGGAAACGATTGAGTTTGCTCTTGTGAATTTTGATGATAAACACTTTTGATGTGTTCTGTAAGAACTTTGGAAAAATCTATTTCTCTATCATCTGTTTGTTTTATAAGTCGTGATTGTTTTGATCATCGTCGTGGTGGAATTTCAAAAGTGATTATGCCGTAGTGTGAGGTTATATTATTTTAATTTTTTGTAGATAGTGATATAGTACTTGTATTCTTATTTTAACCTGTGAGAAGGCTTGTTTACATGGACTTTTCCCTTTAATGAATTGAATTTATAATTATTTACTGACACAATTGTATTTCTCCTTTTGATGGATGGCTTTTTGGGTCATCGAAGAATGGAAGAAATTTGTCGTCTGATTTTCGTCGTTTAGTAGATCTCGAAGATTTTTAAGCTTTTGTATGGTTGTTGAGTCAGATTCGAAAACAGAATTTCCTGTTGTGGAAAAATTTGGAAAAAGGCAAAACAGTTGTGGTTTTTCCTGTTGTGGTTTTTTATTAGCTTTCTTTTTGAAATTTTTGCATTCATTTTTGTTTGCTTTTTGATCTTATATTTCCTACTTTTTAATGTGTGTGGTGCAAATACGCGATCGTATATTGAGCCTTTAATCAAACACTTTTTGAGAGTTTATGTATGTTTGCTTCCCAATTTTTCTCTTGATATAAGAGTTAGAATGATTCGTGCAAACTCTGGGTGTCAGTTTTTTTTCTTAAACTGTTATTTTTGACAATTCTTTTGTGAGATTGGTTTAATCTTTGGGGTATTTTGCCGTCAACAGAGGGGTTGAGGAGAGAGTAGATCTTTTCGTTGGAATGACTTTATACTGCTTTCGAGTGTGTAATTTTTACATCTAAGCAAAACTTAAACTTACCTACTTTGAAAATGATTTGAGATAAATGGTTAGAAAATAGCAAATGAACCCACAAGTAGATAAATAGATATTATTTCAATTCTTATTATTTCTAAGATTTTTTCTAATATTGGGTCAGTTAAGAGGTAGGGCTCAAGTGAAGGATGAGTAACGGAAGATCTTCTCTGTTTAGCTAGATTAAAATTGTTGGCTTTTGGAAAATCGTCAGTTAATATTGGGTCGTATATCAGCGTTGGAAATCGAATCGACGCATGAGGTCGTTAAACACTAGTTGTAAAAGGTGGGGTAAGTTTTTTTTGGTCCAAGGAAAGCCTTGATGATCAAATGTCGAATAATTTCAAAGATGATGCACATTTTAAGATTTTTTTCATGAAAAAAAAACAAAAAAAAACCACAAGACCTATATAAGAGACTTCACTATGTTTATTACTCCTGAAGAGGTACCTTCAGCTTTGGTTGGTCTCTAGTGTTTGTGCTTTGTTCGTGTTTTCCAAAAGCGTTTCAATCCAAACAAGCAACAAATTATAATATTTCTCGGATTTTGTTCACTTCTCAGTAATGTGTGTCTCGATTTGCTCACGAAATTTCTATGCTTTGTACAGGTTCTGCTAATCCGCTACAAGCTGGTCCTATACAGAATGTTTTCAAAAACACAAATTAAAATTTGGAATTAGAAAACGTTCCTAGCCTTAGTTCATTAGAATACTTTTTTTGAAATTAAAACGCTTTCTTTGATAAAAATCAACAGAATTTAATAGTTTGAATCTGACTACAAATTCATAAAATGGATCAGACACTTGTTGTTTCAAAAACCAAATATACTTATTACATTTTAATATAGGTTCCAATTTTTAAATAAAGTTTTTTTTTGTTTGTTTCTTTTGAAAACAAGCACACCTGGAAAAAACTTCTAATAATGTATGCAACTGTTTTGACTGATTTCTAGACAACAATTATCTAAGCAGTTTGTATAAGTCAAACTGCTTATCTAAGTAATTTTTTATAATGTCAACTCAAAAATGAAATACAACATGTATTTTCTTCAGTTTCCCCTTAACGTTTTAATATTGGGTTTCTAATTTTTTTTAAATAAAAGCGAGATAAGCCAATAACTGATAAAGACCAGAGAGTGGGGCTCTAGAAACTGTAATAAAAAAGTTTGGCCCTCCTATACACTATTTGGCATCTAAACAGCTCATAAAAGAAGCGTGTTTTTTAGCGTGCGTATTTGTGTGTAAGCGTTACCGAATTCCTCCTGGAATTGTTAACTGTACGAAAAAGAGACTTAGCAAGCATGTACATATGCTTATGAGGAGTGATATCAACCATTTGATTTTTCTAATTTCGTCCAACTTTTGTGAAAAAAGTAAAATTTTTGCGGAAAATGGAGTTAAATTTTCCACATTTCCTCTATATTCAATTTCATAAAAATCTGTTAGATTCATGATTGCGCGTCTTCAATGGCTAAAAAACTCTATGTTTTTTTCAACTGTCTTGATTGTTACTGATATTTTCCAACACACTGGAGTTGAAATTTTTGCTAGACTTCAAAATTCAAAATAGAAGAGCTTTAAAGTTGTACTTGAAAAAACTTTCAATTATGCACCATTCTATTCAAACAAAGTTTTTCTCGTTTAATCGACAAAAAAAAATCAGTTTTTTCATTAACGCACTGTTAAACAACGTTCAATTCAAATTCCTTCAAGTTGCATAAATAACATGCGAAGTTTTGAATCTCTGTAGCTTGTTTGTTTTTGCTTTTCAGAGAAAGAAATATAGTTTTATTATTGATAACTTGTCCTTTTTATGTTTTGTCAAATAAAACACTTTTTTTCAATTTATTTTTGTGCTGTTTTTGAAATTAAACCACTTGTTTGAAAAATTTTATGCGCGAGTTTTATGTTTTTATATGTCTTATACCATATATACATTAGCATGCTTTGAATCTCGGAACTTGCTCACATATGGACACTGACAAACTCGATTTGTTTCACAAAAACTCTCGATGCAATATTTAGCTGTTGTTTTTCTATTTCATAAATCAAATACTGCTGTTTTATTTCATGCCTTATGAAAAATAAAGCACATGTGTATATATATATGTTTTTGTGTTTTGTTTGAACAACCATACAAAATACAAAACAAAAACTACTTTTTATTTTGATTCTTTTTCAAATTTGGATGGTTTAGTTGTTTCTCATACCAGCCATTCAACCGCTGGTTATGCATCTCAAAACTTGTTCACTTAGCGAAACTGAGCTGCATGTCTAGTTTTGTTCACAACTTTTTTTCGATAAAACTCATAGCTGATATTTAACTACTATATAAAAACCGTCTCTGTACAAAACAGTCCCATACAAAACAGTCAAATACAAAACAGTCCGAGAAAGTAATAAAATGAACAAAAAAACAGTCCGATACAAAACAGCCCGAAAAAGAATCCTAAGTAATAATTGTTTCAACAAGCCGGTAGACGGAGAACTGTCCTTTGTTTACCAAACATAAGGAGCAAAATAGTGACCGCCGCAGACGGGCCAACGTGCTGCGAGCTTGCCAACAGAGGGTAGGACGCTATACGAAATTTAGAGCCGGTTATCGCCGCAAAGCGTCAAAGTGTTTCAGTCATAATTGAAAAAATTGTGCAGTATTTGAAACAATAATGCTCTATTTGAAGCAATTGGATTGATCAAACTTCATCAAACATTAAACTTGAAAAAGAAAAAAAAACTAATGCAACTTCAATCAAGTTGCATTAGTGTTTTTCAGTTGCAGTGCAACGAATGGCTGAAAAAATAGTAATTTTCTGTAACATCAAAATTTAGTGAAAATAAAACAATTGCTGATTTCTTGATGTTTTCTTATGGTCGCCCTTCGATATCTTTGTTATCTCGATTTCGGCTCTTTTCCATGCCCCCTTCTTTCTTTTTTTCTCTGAAGTTCAGTTTGGGTAAGCTTTTTTTAAAACGTTGTTTGATGTGCTCAACTGCTATAAAAGGTGTCAGCTTGAGCAAGTGAACAATATTTCAATATTTTACGAAAACATTTTACCTGCAAAATGCAGTGTAAACATTTATATAACAATTTTATGTTGTAACGTGCGAGGTTATCAAAACTGGAAAAAAATTTGAATCACAACAAGACTGCTCGTATCAGGGCGAAGCCCTGAATGTTCCGACTGCCTTTAAGGTTTATGGAGCAGCAGTAATAAAATTTAAAAAATTAAATGAAATAAAACAAAACGAAATTTTTTTCTAAAATTTGATATTTTTTAATAAAAATCTTCCCCCTCACACGCCATATAAAGTACAAAAAGAGAGATTTTGTTCCTTGTAACAATCTAATTATGGCAAATAAGCTTCGTTCAACCAATTTGGAACGTGTTATAAGACGGATTAAATTATATCGCGCGTTAATTGTCCCAAATTGGTCAAAATGGCAATCTTTAAACACCCATAACTTTGAGAAAAATGATCACAGGTGAAATATTTTTTCAAACTTAAGCTCAGGACAACAATACTTTTTGAATGATATAAAAAAATTTCCGTCAAAAATGGCTAGTTAAAAAGTCGAAAACCCACCCCGAGCACATATATTCCGTTACTTTCGTATCGAAAGTCGGAACAATAATTTATTTAAGAATTCCTTCGGTATTCAATATTATTTTGCTAAAATTGAGAATATATTTGAAAAAATGTTCCTCTTCTTAACATGTTTCTTTTCCTGTTAATTTATTGAAAACAAAAGATATGCAAAGGATTTGTTTTTGTGATTCGTCATTGTGTTGTTACAACCAAAGACGAGAAAAAGGTTAAAATTATATGCTTAATGGATAAAAATTAAACTGAAGGAAGAATAATCAACTCTCTCGTGTAAAAAGAATTAAAAAAAACTGATCCACAAAAAATTTAGATCAATAGAACCAAATCAGGTGACCAAATGTCCCGTTCACTATTTTTCGAAAATTATGTTGTTATTCATCCTGTATCACTTTAAATATTTGTGTTTCAGAAAGACCGGAAAGTCCATCTGGGAATTTCTGCGAGAAACACTCTGGTAAGGCAGTGCAATACTACTGCAACCCCTGCTCTAGTGCCATTTGTGAAGTTTGCTGGGACGAAGACCATGAAGACTGGAAATCTCACGGAGTCACAACCATGAATGCATATTTGGAGCAACAGCAGCAAGTCCCCTCCCGAATCTCAGACTACAGAAAGGAGTGTGAGAGGTTGAGTGGCATGTTACAGGAGTGGCCGGTGGTTGTGACTCAAATTGGAGCAGTTGAGCGGAAACAGGAGTCCATGTTGAGAAATAGATCTGCGCGTGCTATTGAAGAGATGTCAATTGATGTGCGAAACTCACTGAAACGACAGATGGCCGAGGTTCAGAACTTCAAGGGTAAAATACTTGAACAGTTCACTGAAATTGAGTGTTCATATAGAGGGATATTCGACTATGCAGTGGAGATTAGCGAGGATGACAGATCTTGTAGTTCCTTGGTTGGGGGGAGAGGGCAGGTGATGACACATGAAAACAGTAGATTCTCAACTAGTGGCATTATAGCAAGTGGAGCGCAAGGGCGGGATAACTTGGGAAGAAGCAGTTCGGAAAGGGAGATAAATGTGGAAATGGGTGAGAAATGGGAGGGAGTGGCTGTAGAAAAGAAGGACGAGAGGAAGGACGTGGAGAGGAAAAAGAGAGTGTTGGTTGGAGTGGAAGTGGAACAGATAGGGAAGATGGAGGAGGATTGTAGTATGTGTGACAAGGCAGTTTATAATTGGGAGACAAGAGAAATGATGTGTTTTAAAGCAGTAATAGGTGTGATTAAAGTCTTTGGTGTGAATGAGGCCAATGACAAGTTGGAACTGAAAAGGACGATGCAGTGGAGGGACATGAGGGGATTGGAAAGCATTTTGAGGGACATTTGTATGGAGCAAATAAACAACCTTATGTATGGAGTGGTTCTACAGTTGAGGGAAGGAGAAGTGAAGAGGGTGGAGGAGTTGGACCAATGGACTCTGAACAAGGAGAGCAACAACGGTGAGATAGACACAGGGGGACTGCTCAATGGGGAGCGAGTATTTTGGTACTTGGTATCAAGGAGAGACACACTCGCATTGCTAATTATTGATCAAAGAAGTGGGTATTGTAACGGAAAGTGGGACAGTGTGGCCATTTACACAAACAGTGTGAGAAGAGTGCACAATTTATCACATCTGGATAATACAGTGATTGGAGTTCTGTCAGTGGGTGGTTCTGTGTTGGCCAATGAGACCACCCTCCTTCTCAGTTGTGGAGAGGAGGCAAACAAAGTGGCAGTGATCTCATTGCCACCACAATCACATCACAATCAAACATCTACTTCAGCATCCTCACCCTCCTCTTCTGCAAACAGTACAGTGAATGTGAAGTTTGTGACCCTCACCAATGTAAACCCCTGTTATGGGGGCCACCCTCTTATTTGGACACCATCTGGAGAACCACTCCAAGGATATCTATGGACGGGGAAACTTACCACACAAGTGTACAAAGTAGACCTCGAGACACTCTTGAAGAATGTGAAAAAACGTAAGAAGACAATACAACAAGTGCATGAAATATTACCCTTGGAGAACAGAATCACTGCATTTTGTCTTACCGATGACTCTACCATTTTTGCGTTCGGTGAAAATAAAGTTGACGATTCATATGAGCATCTAGCACTATTGCTCAAATTGGACTTCACTTCCACCTAATTATACAGTGTTCACATAACTTCATCACTAAATATCTACCCCAGATAATCATGCAACAAATTCATTTGTGCATCAAATTTATATGTACTAATCAAATCACAGTGCTCACAAACAACGCCCCTAAACTGTACATTAAGAAAGCTGCGTTAATAAATTGTTAAGTATGTTAGGGGCAAAACGTGCGAGTACGAAACGTGTGAAATTATTAGGGGCGGAATGAGCCACAATATTTAAGAGGGGCGAAGTATGTGTAGGGCGAAACGTGGGATCTTTTTTTTGCTGTTTTGAAAGTTTGGTTATATGGCTTAAATCTGATTAGTTGAGATTAACATAAGCAAATAGAGCTATGGGTGCTCAATTGTTTTGATATTTGTGAGCCTTATAACAACATAACAATGCAACGCTAGTTACGAGCAGATTTAGAAGCGAATTAGCTTCTAGTAGTGGTACTATTTAACTTGTTTGGGTCCTCAAAAATGATGTGGTCGCTAATAAAGACATTTTTCCAGGGAGCGTGCTGAATCTGTGTAATAATTCTATAAAAGGCTTTTTAATTTCGCTACGTTAGAATTAACCAGATGTAGTTGATCTAGTGGGTATGATCAAGGTGTAGGTTTGAATCCAATGTAGATTTGAACCCAATGTTATGTTTTAGGCGGGTCCAATCAAATAAAATAGTCTTAGCACAAGACCAAACAAGTAACCCAAATCAACAGCAGCGGGTTCCTGTCACTATGCATTTAAATCAAGTTGCATACGTCCTTTTTTACACAAAGTATAACGCAATGTGATTCTTATCCCCAAGTTATAAAAAGGTAAACCAAAATTTTTTTTCTTATAGACTGATATAGCAAGAGTTGATATAATTTGGAAGTGTGCCCAAAAAAATGAATTTAATTACAATTAACTCAAATTGATGAAATTTTTGCAAAACGGCAAGAAGTTAAAGAAACGAGTTAACTGCTTTTTTGGTCAGTCGTACATTAGTATTTTGCTTTTCTTAGTAAAATCGTGACTTTTCGGTTATATCCTTCTAAACCATAAAAAACGAAAGTTAAAAAACTGTTTGACAAAACTGGGACACAGTTACAGGAAGAGTTTGTTTTTGCTCTTTCACACAAGTTTTTTCACGACGAGGCATGAATGAAAAATGAAATATTAGAACTCAGCATTGAAAAAAGAAATCATTTGCATAGGTTCGCGCACTTTTCCGGGCTCTTTCACATTTTCTCCTGCTCTTTCACATTTGCTGGCATTTTTTCCTCAGAAAGAGCAAAAACATACTATTCAACAATTAGAACCTAGTTGAACATGGCCTCGGGCAAGAGAGCCGCACTCGGGCACTTCGTGCCCTCAGGCCGGCTCATTTTCTTTTTCCCTCGGGCAGCTTTCAACTATGTTCTAACTACTACAAAAAAGCAATATATATTTGTTTTTGACTGGTAAAAACAAGCATCAATTTTAGATACCTCCCGCGAACGGCGTCTATGGTAAAAAACAGTAAAATAAAGTTTTAAAGTTTTAGATGAATTGAAAAAAAATTATGAACAAAACAATGTAAACTATAATGTGAAATTAAAAAATTTATTAAGCGTAATACGTAGCAACTGCACCAAACAAGAAATAAGATAACTTTGAAAAAAATCCATTACAACCGATTGCAGTCGATTATAAAGGTTTATACTGACATAGATTTTTTTGGGATGATAATACATTTTGATGGATTATAATCAATTATAATGGATTTTTTTGACATAAACAAATATGGAATTTTTATCCATTTTTGATGAATTATATTTGGTTATTTTTTATAGATACTGCACCGTTTATGACAATCTAATAAATTCTGATCCATTGGCGCTGGAAGCGGGTTTTCTATTAACATAATTTGAGTTTTTCTGGCTTGATTCAATGTTCGGGATATCAGCCTTGCGTTTGTAACTAAAAACAGTCTTTTTTTTTTCTAAAAATCTTTTTGTTTCCATTTTTTACTATTAGAAGGGGTTAAGCAAAAAGACCCATAATATTGATCCCTTTTTGTTGTTAAATTACTCTTTTTTTTACTTTTCACTTTTTATGTGGGTATTATCGGAAAGACCCGTAATATTGTTCCTATTTTGTTGTTAGTTTTTTTTTCATTTTTCACCTTTCAGGGGGTTATAATCGAAAGATCATTTTTGGTGGGTTTCAGGGTTCTACCATAAATTTACTTATTTAAGCTTCAAATTGATTGTTTTTTCTTCTTGTGACCGTTAATCCGTATGCAGATCATAATTATGAGGTCTCTTGCATTTTAATGGTCGCTTTTTCTCGGGATATCAGACCAGTGATTATAAGTAAATTTAATCCAATTTTGAAAAAAAACATATTTAAGTTCATTCTTTACGTCTTGGCGTTACATCCAAAAATAATATTGTGTAAGAGGCAGTTTGCTTAACACAAATTAAAATTTCTTTCTTATTTTTTTTTCAATCTGGATACTGTTTGTTCATCCAAAAGCGAATTCGTACGACAGGTGATTAGCTACTGTTGATTTGGCTAGGTTAGAATAGCACAAAAACTAGGATCAGCTCTGGATATTACCATTCCGCACTAAGCGCTCATAGATTTAAATTAATTATAATAGATTTACTAGGTAAAAAATTCCATTTATAATTTATTTCACACCTAAAATTCAGAATACGAAACAATTTCTGGTCCATAAAGCTGATTACTTTTGAGGAAAAATCTAATTTATTCTATTATGCCTGATCATAATCATTTTTTTCCCTTAATTTTTTTTCCCTTTCGCTTAAAATTTTTTGCAAAAAACATATCAGTATAATCGATTATTTTGAAAACAAAACATTTATTTTAATCCATCATACCCGCACTGACAGAAATGGTTTCTGGTCGATTTAAATTGATTTTAAATCGACTTTAAATCAATTTAAATCGATTAACCATGTACATTTTACGAACTCAAATGGATTTTGAATCGATTTAAATCAATTTTTTAAAAGTTTTAAATCGATTTAAGTGTCTAAAAAATCGATTTAAATCAATTTCGATGGATTTTCCGACTCACTAAAATCCATCGGAATCTCACTTCTCACTTAAATCTATCAGAATCTCACTTAAATCCATTTTAAATCGATTTAAATCGATCTTTTTGAAACTTTTAAATCGATTTAAGTGTCTAAAAAATCGATTTAAATCGATTTCGATGGATTTTACGACACACTAAAATCGATTTTTTTTGCTAACAAGGCGAAAAAAACATACCCTTTAAAAAATTGTTGAAAACTTTTATTCTCGATTTCTTAAATATAAAACTCGTGCCAGATGTAATAGAATTCAATAAAGTTATCCAACTAAATCAGTTTAAAGCTCAAAAAAATGCAATGAAATTGATTTAAAATTGATTTGTATCAATTTTTTTAGCTGGGAATTAAAATCAATCTTCATCTTTTTTGTTTTATCTTCGTACTTTTTTCATGCTGAAATCAATCTAAAATTAATCAACGTACTTTTTTAATACTAAAATCGATCTCAATTTAATCAACGTACTTTTTTCATACTAAAATCGATCCTCATCCATTTTTGTCAGTGCGGGTAATCAAATATAATCCATTTATTTAAATTCTTAAATTGGTTATTTTGCAATTTGTTCGCAGAACAGTTGCGGAAACTCAATTCTTTGACTAAACACTAAACGATTTATAACAATAAACCATAAACTTCACTTCAGTTCCGCCAAACTTCTACACAATCAACCACTTTCAACCCTTATCCTGACCCCAACGCCCTAATCCAAACGACTACCCCACGAGCTGAGCGATCGAATTTCGAGGGAATGCTAAGAAGTCCTCCAGCAACGATGACTCATTGCCCTCAAACCTCAACTTCTCCCACCCCTTCTGCAAAAAAACTAGGAGGAATGCAATAAATATGTTGAATTTTGCCATAATTTGTTAGAGTTGTACCATGTGCTGTGGCTAGTTTATTTTGATATTTTGGAGAGTGGAAGTTTGGTTTGGGGTGCGATGATTAATTTTCATGCCATGTAAGAAGGTTAATAAAGGTTTGTTTCTGCTGCTGGTCCGACTAAAAAGTCTATTTCAATGTATTGTGGCTTAAAGTTTTGCTTTTTGGGCTGTCTAGAAGAAACTGGAATGTCCAAAATGTTTCTCTAGTTGGAGTCGTTGTTGTGTTGTTCTTTGTTCTTGTTCATATTTGTCTAATTGTCAACAATTTGTTTTGGTTGTTTGATCAATTTTAGATTCGTTAGAATTCGAGTAGGGATACTCATTTTGGAATGGTTAGAATTGATTGGGATCTCTTATGTGCTTTCGTTTTTTGCTTTTATCATCGGTGTTTTCACAGTGTTTATGATTTGGTTGCATTTCTAAGGATTCGGTGTTTTCTATTCCTGGTGGGTCTGGAGTTGCTTCACTTGTAGTTTGTACCTGATTTATTTGTCGTTGATTTTTAGGTGTACTACTTCTGTTGTTCTCCTTCTGTTTATTTGGATATTGTGAAATAATTCGATTGGGTGATTGAGAATAATTTGGTGATTGAAAATAATCTATTTTGTTAGCAATTGTTTTTAGGTTTAGAGTTTTCAGGGGACCTGTTATAATAGTTTTTTGTATGAATTCTTGTTCGAATATTTTCGGGATTTGTTCTTTTTCAAGAATAGTTTTCTAGAACTGGCTCTGGAATGACTGTTTCTGCGTTGATTGTTTTGACTATTTGATCGACTATATCTATTTTGTGAATAATTTTATAATTTTTTACTTTCTGCGGTCGTCCACAAAAATTTTCGGAATAAGGTGATTGTGGCCTGCTGTTAATATAGCTAGATGGGAATGGTTTTCCTGAAATAAAATTATCCTGAATTTATTCACCTATTTGCCTATATCATTTCACTGGTATTTTTGTTGATTAGAATTCTACTGTTGTTGATTATGGTGAAAGTATTCTTCATCTTCTGTGTTAGCTCTCTGTGAATTTTGATATTGAACACTTTTGGTATATTCTGTA